CGCACAGCCTTTCGCACGGGTTCGGGATTATTACACGCGGGCTTAGGGTCAATCCCTGCAGGCAAAGTGGCTGGAGTCAGGCTCTGAGGGCTCACTGTTTCAGGCGCAACGACTAGCCCGGTCTCACGCGCATGCTGGGGAGCACCAAGCGAAAGCAGACCGACAGACCGTTGAGAAGGCAGCCCTGTTGCGTTGTCACAATCAGTGCTGTGGGCAGCAAAGGATTCTGAATGGTGAGGCACGATACCGCCGAGAGACACAGGTCCAGGTGTCGCCGGGCGCGGCAGCCCGAGCGCCCTGAGCTGTCCCTCTTGATCGGTGGTCATGGCAGGCACCCCACCCGTAATTGCAGGCTGAGCAGGACTGGGTGTTCCATGACTGAACTTGCAGGAAGCCCCGAATTTGCAATTACCCTGCAACCACAAACGACGAGCTGGGCGCGAGTACGGGCCTTGGCTAGGCAACTTTGGGGTTCCGTAGGGCGCGAACTGGTAGGCGCCCTTCCCCTAACCAAAACCAGAAACCCACGCATCTTTACCTCCCCCCTTCGATTCTCCACCCTTGCCTTCCTTGCCTTTGCCTTTGGGATGGTCCGCAGGGATCCACCGGGCCAGGGCATCGTGCTTTTCTGGCGACATCACAATCTTGTCAACTCCATCCCCGAACGTGCCCCCCGAACGCAAATGCATAGCCAAGTCCCAAGACGTTTTCTTGTAGTACTCCCGGATTTGCGGGATCTTGTTCAGGTGGTCCCGCGTGAGGTTGACAAAGAAGTCGATCAACTTGTTGATCTGGTGCTCTTGTCCCCATTGCGCGAAGATCATTGCCCACCTGATGCTCTCAAACGCGTCCAACACAGTGAGCAAGCGCTGGGGCTCCGGGACAGGTCGTTGCTGTTTCACGAACTGCCCATCGCTTCCGAGGGCGAGGCGCTCGGCACGGTCGTCGCCGCCTTTTGCCCATGGATTGATCTGCCCACTCGGCGTGAAGTGTCTGGCAGCAATCACTTCCCCGAGCCGCACCGGGGTGAAAAGCTGCGAGACTTGTCTTTCATGCACCATGCGAGCCAAGACTTCTTCCGCGCCGACCAACTGGTGAGACGGGAATCGCCTGTTCTGGCCAGCCACAACCTCCTTCTCAAAGTCTTGGATCACTGTTGCCCAGTAGCCTTTGGGCAACGTCTTGGGCGGTTTCTGGTCCTCCGCTGCGAAGGCGCACTTAGCCAACGACGATGTCTGGGTAGGCTCCGCGGGGACGGATGTGAATTGCGCATTGCGGGCGAGTTCGATTTGGTCGACCATGTGCTCCAACACTGCGACCGCGACTGCCATGGCTCCGGTGTCCAACTTGACATTCTGACCGCGTATAGACACCCCGCTCTCGAGCGGCTGTAACTTCTTCGGAATTTGCTCTCGCTTCGAGAACAAGTGGTAAAGCACGCCGGAGCTGTTGACACCCGAGTCGCGTAGGTACGACACCACATTCTTGTTGAGACCAGAGTCCTGGGCCAAGCGGGCTAGTTCAGGGAGCTTGGGCACACCCGCCATTGCTCTCGTCTAGATGCGCTACGCAGCAATACAGCTGGACTCAAAGTTCCAACAAAGGCTCTACAGAGAGAACTTACAGCCAAAGACGCTCCACTCCACGCACAATCACACAGCACACACATGCACACACAATACCTCAGCGCAACGCTAAAAGCACAAATCACGCTGCAATTGCCTGCACGCTAGACAAACGGACGTACGTCCGCCGTTCTTACTTAGTGCAATTCCACCAAGGCTGGACTTTGAACGCGAAGACTGAAGCAGCCACTCAAACTAACACAAGCAGAGGAGTTGGACGTACGTCCAGGGCTCCCCTGCCCGTGCTACGCGCTACCATCTGAGCTTTCACACGCAGACTCCTCAGAAGCATCAGCACTCGAAGACTCGTCTTGTTGAACGCTTCCGAAGCAATTCTTGCAAGCCTGGTACCCAGGCAACAAATCAACGTTTCGCACACATCTAGAGATGCCATACCTCCACTTGCCGCACGCTGTTAGCCAACACGAACTATCCAATGCACTCTCAGACGAACTTGGCTTGTGCGCAAACTTAGTACGGGAGTTGTGCACCAGGACATCCTTCGACTTCGTACACTCGCTGACGAGATCGCGGACCATCTGCCGGAAGTCCTTGGTGTCGCTGGGCGTGCGTGTCCGCGAAGCAGAGCACGCTGAACCTTCATGCGACATCTGATTGCCCAGCGCGTTTGCCACCGCACACGCCGCCCGCTCGGGCACAAACGCAGCTGTTTGAACATAGCGGAAGATAGCATTAGAGCCCCGCCTTCCGATGAGCTGGATGACTGCCACATCGACTCCAGACCGTGCCAAAAACTGCGCTCCAGCAACACGAAACGAGTGCTGCGCCCACCGGTCCAGAGCGTCTGAGGACCACTCATCCAACGAAGCCTGTCCCAGCGCCGCTGCGCAGCATCTGGCAAGCGTGGATACCGCCGAGCCGTTAGCATGAGTCCTGCACAGCCGAAAAGATACGCTTCAGGACGCCAAGCCTGGCGGCTTCGCAAGGCGGTTACAATGTCAAGTAAGGCGTGCAACACACAGAGTGTTTGTCGACCTCCACGGCAAACGCAGCAATGCGTGCGAGCACATCCCTTCGCCTCTGTGTCGACTTTACTAACAGGAAGTTGCAGGGTCACTTGGTAAAGCTCACATTGGAATGTCACATCTCTACACTGCACATTGGAAATCTCAATCCCACGCAACAAAAACCACGATGCAGCCACTGGCACTCCGATACCGACCAGCTTTCAACAAAAAACCCACAGCATTTACAAGCTCGACCGTTACTGGCAAGGCTGAAATCCTCGAGATGAGCAGAGAGCTAGCCATGTCTTCCAGCGTGAATCACGCGGGGCGCTTGAAGTACGCGCGAAACGATCTTCGAGGAACTCCTTGTCAGCTTTGGCCAAGTCAACGATCATAGTCTTGGACGGGTTGCCGAGGCCAAGTCGCTGCAATGAGCCTCGGGCGTACGGTGCACTACGGGAACATCGGACCGGGAAGGGGTCCGCCGGTCTTACGGACCGCCACCAACGCATTAAGAGCGACATTGCCCAACAAAGATCGTAGCTCGGACTTTGATTTGTTCTCCAGATTCCAAGCAGATTTTACGCCGGCACTTTGCAGCACGTCCAAACAGTGGGCCACTCCTTGCGCGCCTGTAACACTTTGACTAAACTAGCGAAAGTGAGCGATCGCTCACACACGGCACATGCAACATGTCTTCACAACACAAAGTTGAACCAAATGCGCAAAGCTCAAGAACAGCGCTTGCACACAATGCAGCGGCGCTAAAGCTCTTGCGCAGTCAAGTTTTGCAGGCACCAATCATGGGCACGCACTTTTCCATTCTCCACAGCGGTACACACTCTAGAAGCTTGCCAAAAAGATAGGGAAAAAAAATCTTCTAGCGCAGGGCGAACAGGAGCCTTATCGACCATCAGATTGGTCGTCGTAGAAGGGGACCCTGGCCACCGAAGTTACGGTCGAAGCAATCGGCAGCACCAGCGCCCGAACATGTAAAAGCGGACGTCCCTGACGCTAACCACGCAGCGCCGACATGTTTTGCACCGCACTCGGCTTTTTGGGCTCTGACTGTCTGAGCCACACAACGCTGCTCGCAGGCAAAGATCTCTCACATTAGTGTGCTGACTTGTCCTAACTGTGAAAAATTCACCTGTAGTGTTTGCCCAGTTGGTGCCATGTGGTGTTTTACTGTACAGAGAGAAGCATGAGAGTTAGCATGTTTGGTTTTGCCCGAAGTCCCTAAAGCATGTTTGGGTTGACTGCGACGCATGTCTTGTCTTGTTGGCATGGCCTAAGATGAGTTTTGAGGCACTTGGAACTGCTTGAGCTCTCTCTTGTATCTGTGTTTTAAAACTGGCCTCTGTTGTGGCGTGGCCTCCGGCTGTTTCGTTGTTGGGGCAAGTCCTTCTTCCTCGATTTGGCCGGAACCCGTTTTAAAACGCGGTCCTGAGGGCTGAGGGCTGGCTTTTAGAAGGGTCAAAAGTGCCCGTAAAATGCGTGTAAAATCTTTTGGGCCACAGTGCGGCCTGGCAGGGATTGTTCGATCTCCTTCTCACCACAGCTCACGCAAATTCGCTTCCCATGCCAGCTCGACCCAGGCTTTAGCTCAACTGCAAGACGCAAGGCTCAAACAGACTTCTCGTCTGCAAAGAATATTCAACTGGTGGCCAGTCTTCCCGACAATTGGAGCATTAGGGCCTGCAACTGCAGAAACAAGTTACTCTGCAACTTCTGGGTGAGAATCTCAAGCAAGCATTCAGAAGGCCACAGCCTCGGCAGGTGCTTTCAAGGGTTTCGGGCTCAACCGCGTGCTTTTAGGTTTGGGGCTCAACTGGAGGCAAGCTTTAGGGTTTCGTGCTCACACGCATGCTTATAAGGTGTCGGGCTGAACTAGCGATCAACTGGCGGCAAGCTTTACGTTTCGGGCTGATTGCAAGCTGTAGGCGGGCTCACCGCAAGCTTTAGGTTCAGCAAATTGGCGGCAAGTTTCTGTCTTTGCCGCAAGCTTTAGGGACTTTAAGGTCAACTGGCGGCAAGCTTTCGGTTGCGGGCTCACCTTTCAGGGGCTCAACTGCTAGCTTTAAGGAGTTTCGACTCAAGCTTTAACGGGCTCCAGGGCATGTCTGAGGCTCAGGCGGGGAACTGGCTCGCTGCCTGGCGTGACACCCGTGATCCCCGTAACATATGCCTTCCCGTAATCGTCGCGACTCTTGTTTGCAAAAATCTCCGCTACATTGCCCGCAAGGTGTTCGGGGAAGACCTGGACCGAGGGTCGGGCAGGGTCGGGCTTGGGTATTGAGGTCCTGCATTAAAGTGCAGCATCTCAGTAATACATGCGAGTCTTTGCACGCGGGCCTCGAGGGAATGCCTGGTGAGACGTCACGAGAGAAACAAACAGGGGACAGCATCAGAGCAAAGCCGTTCTCGCGGCCAGCCTTTGCTGCTTGTCTACCGGGTCCCGCCAGGTGGCTGGTGCTGCAGCTGCCAAGGAGTGTCCCAAGAACTTTTCAATCTCGCTTTGCGAGGGCAGGATCCATCCATCTTTCGTCTTTGCGTTTTGCGTCGACGATCCTCTCATCCAGTAAGCATGCTTCGCAGTCTGTGGCCGTGGGTGGTTGACACTGGCGCTGCCTTCTTTCTGCTGCGCCACCATGACTAAGTCAGCACTGTCTGCTTTTCTCCTCACAGCGAACAAGTCTACTGCCTCGAACTGTGCGTGGCTCGGGAGCACCAGCTGCAAGGTTGGGTACTGCAATGGTTGTGGCAGCTGCTGCATTGCTTGCTCGACAGTCTTCGCCGCTGGGTTGGCATCCAGACACTGGATTGCTGCCCCTTCATGTCCATGCAGCCATCCGTGCTCTTCGCCGCCCATCTGCTGCCAAATGTAGCGCAAGCCGAAGGCAACGGCGATGATCTTCTCCCACGCCTTGCCATCCTTCTCCTCTGCAGCTTGCATGCCTTGCAGCCACCGTCCAAGAACACCACAGGCAGGGCAGGCACTGCTACATTGGATAAGGAAGTGCGACATGAAGCATGGGATCCATATTGGTCTGTCTTTTTGGCTGCCGTCCGTGAGCTGCCTGAAAGCCTCCATCTCTCTCATCAAAGTGCCTGCGAAAACCTCGCGCAAGAAGGCGGCAAGGTGCTGTTGCGGGTCTTCCCGGATTTGTGAGAATTTTTGTGAGAGCAGAGACCCATCATCGTGCGAGGACCAAAGGAGTGCTGGGACTCTTGAGTAGTAGGCTGCTTTCATGTGCGTCAAGCCAGAAAATGCTGACGACATGTTCTGCAGCTCTCCGAGCTCATCTGCGAATGGCAAGCCTGTGATTTCCAGCCCCCTAACGGAGTCGCCCTCCATGCACTGGGTCAAGTCTAGCCCCGTGGACTGAATGTGGGAGGTGAAGACCATGTAGGCACCTTCAGAGCCAAGGAAGACATTTTTCATGAAGCGGGCGGCATCTTGCTCTGCGTTCTTTTCCTCTTGGGTGGGGCCCCTCAGCAACAGTTGGTTAAGCTCATCGACTAGCAAAACAACGTTCTTCTGGCACTCGAAGTAGGATTGCAGAGTCGACTTCTGACACGTCTTGTTTCCGAATTCGTCTGCCACATCCTGACGAAGCGAACTGTTGGCCGGGAGCAGCGCATACGCAATAGTCCGGTACAGCCACTCGTCCGCTAGCTCGTTGTCCCGCCGTTTGACGGGGCTTTCCCCGTTGAAGGACACAAAGATGGGGAGGTACTCAGCCTCGGCCAGTCTCTCGCCAAGCTTTAGCAGGAAGGTGGTCTTCCCACCTCGCGCACATCTTGCTGCGCAGGTGGGCGGCACGCGGTTCGTGACACTCACATCGCTTCGGTTGATGTACTTCTCGATCAAGCCCATGCAAGCTTTCACGCAGGCATCGATCCCCACAAGCCTCTGTCCATCCTGTAGCTTTGCTGCGGGGACGCGCGCTTGAGACAGCGGACCGAGTGCTTCTTCCTGCGAAGGGGAGCATGAACGCCAAACACAAGGTTTCCCTACGCACTCTCCCCATGTCCTTGATGACCCTTGGCGCTGCCTTCGCCTGCAGGGTCCAGCCACTTGCAAAGCTGAACTGGCCACAAACCTTCCGGATACCTCCGAAAACCACCCAAAGTACAAGCAATAATGACACGAGCAGCTCCACCTGTCCAAGATGGCAGCCTCTTTTGAAACACCCGGAAAACGTTACCGCAGACCTCTAGCACTGTGCCTCCGAAGCTTCCCTTCAAGTCGAGCCTTACAAAAGCAGCTGCACCGCGAGCCTCACTGCGCTAACGCTGACCAAACAGGACAGCCCTCCAAAGCTTAGCCAATAGCCCTCTGCTCCGAAAGCCCTTCCCGCTCCCCGAAGTGCTGCAAGCCAACACAGTGCAGACACCTTAACGACGAGGGATCCTGAGAGGAAAGCAGCACCCCAAAAAGCAACAACGGTGGACCGCACGAAAAACCCACGACGACCAAGAGCCCCGGACATGCAGGAGTGCTACAAACCACCCACGCAGAAGCCCCCTGCACTCGTCTTGCCGGAACCCCACTGCCAAGGTCCGTGTGCCAAAAACATTAAGAACCCAAGTCCCTTGACTCCCCCTCACGGACTAACCTGAAAGTCGAGCCTCAAACAAAAACAACCGCAACCTGGAGAGCGCAAAGCAAGCACAAAACAGGCTGACCCCCGCACCTCGAGCCTCGGACTGATACCCCGTTCTGAAGCATCGGCACAACAAGAAGAGCATCCAGTTTGATTGAACCTACAGCAGCCAAAGAGCCCTCTGCTCCGAAAGCCCCCTCCCGCTCCCCGAAGTGCTGCAAGCCAACACAGTGCAGACACCTTAACGACGAGGGGCTAAGTGGAAAGCAGCACCCCAAAAAGCAACAACGGTGGACCGCACGAAAACGCACGACGACCAAGAGCCGCGGACATGCAGGAGTGCCAGGCAATATGCCCACGCAGAAGCCCCCCGGCCTGCACTCGTCTTGCCGGGACCCGCTCGGCAAGGTCCGCGTGCTAAAAGCACTAAGAACCCAGGTCCCTTGACTCCCCCTCACGGACACAGTAACCTGAAAGTCGAGCCTCAAACAAAAGCAACCGCAACCTGGAGAGCGCAAAGCGAGCGCAAAACAGGCTGACCCCCCCACCTCGAGCCTAGGACTGACACCCCGTTCTGAAGCATCGGCAAAACACGAAGGGCAACCAGATTTGCATGAACCTAAAGCAGCCAAGAGCCCTCTGATCCGAAAGCCCCTCCCGCTCCCCGAAGTGCTGCAAGCCAACACAGTGAAGCTTAACGACGAGATCTTTGCTAAGAGAAGAGCCCCAAAAAGCAAACGGTGACCATGCGGGAGTGCTGCAAACCAAAGGCAACAACTGCACACGCAGAATCGCAGAAGCCCCCCGGCCTGCCCTCGTCCTGCCTGGACCTTTGCTTGGGCCTCCTCGTACTTCTGCTGGGCAGTCTCTAGTTTTGTTTCGGCTTCGTTGAGCTTTTGCTCGGCCTCCCGGAGATCCTGCTTGATCTCATTGGCCCTTTCGCTGCTGCTGTCTTTCAATTCCAGCAGCTGCTCTTGCAGGTATGCGGCCAGGGCTTCCGCCCTTTCCAGCCTGCTCTGTGCCGTTTCCAGCCCTCTCAGGGCCACAGCTCGCTGTCGTCTTGCCGCAGCCAGATCCTGCCAGGTGCAGGGCTGCTTTCCCGTGATTTTCCTGCCGTGTTTGCCGAACATGTCTTGGCCGGAGCCTCGTTCTCCAGAGCTGTCTTCTGCAGCTGCTCGTCCTGCACCGGGCAAAGGCCACAGTCTGCCATGGGATCTTCAAACAGCAGAAGCGCAAACCAACAGCTCGGAGGCCTTGGGGGCATCTTCGACCGGGTCGGCGGTCTGCGCAGAGGCAGCCTGCTCCTCGACATCCCGCCGAGCAGCTTTCGATGCAAAATCCAAAACACACGGAATGGACAAACAAACCTGGCCTTATCTTCGTCCTCACTTTCCGAAGGCTCCGAAGCCTGCGCTGTCCAGGAAATGACACTCACTCCGCACCACAATCTGCAATTGCGAACTTCAAAGAGCCCGCTCAGACTCAGCCCGCAATGGCCCACAACAAGCAAGACAAGCAAGCAACAACACCCTCGGAGGCACAGCCTGCTTGGCATCTTCAACCGGGTCAGCAGTCTGTGCTGAGGCAGCCTGCATAAGCAACCCCTCAAGCTCATCGAAATGCGTCTGAAGCTCCCTGGCCCACCACACCGAAAGGACAAAAACCACCAAAGCAAGAGACATCGCAAAGCGCCTCGTCCACTGCCTTTTTTCGCGAAACCTGCAGCAAGGGGCACATTCTCAACAATGCTAATTTCAGCGAGCCTTCACCCGCCTGATCGAAGCTTGCTAGAACTGTGAAGCCCTCACCAGCAAGAACGCCTCGGTCGTCGCCTCTTCCTGATCCTTTTCTGAGGCCTCCGAGCATGGACTGATCCCGAGAAGACCTACATGCGCTGCTGGCAGGACCGTTTCATGCAAGCATGAGCTCCTCGAAATTCGTCTGATGCTCCCGCCGCCGAAAGGACAAGCAAACCTTGCCTGATCTTCGTCTTCACGAGGTTGCAGAGGCCCCTGGTCAGAAAATGACACACTCGGGCAGGAGCGAAGGAAACGCCATCAGAACAGCACAAGGAACGCCACGCCGAAACGACAAACCCTTTTCGCCTTGACGTCTTCATGGTCTTCGGCCTCACCATCGCCAGCCTCAGCTCTTCAGGACATACGCTTAACACTGAATTTCCTGTCGGTCTCGGCTTCCCGCCTTGGCCCTGCGTGCGACCAGCAAGCTCTGTGCCCATATTCCCGGAGGAACCGACCTCGCGCTGGCTTGCGGATCTTCGGCGTTCCATGCCATACATCACATCCCACCTTGGAAACTGCACGGCCCCCGCTCCTAGCAAAGCCCGCGCCGTCTGCGTTGCTCGCCTGGGGCTGCTCGGGAAACCCTCTAACACTGTTCAAAGCACTGGTCTTAGGCTCTGGCAGAGACACCCAGAGCAGCGCCAGTAGCACCACAGCGCGCCCGACCTTGCGCGATGTTGCTGCAGGCCGGCTCATGGCGGCAATCGTCCTAGCTGTCCTCTGGCTCGAGCAAAAGCACTGCAATCTGCATGAACGAATGGTCGAGCTCCCCCTATTTCAGTCACGGGCCAAGTGTTTAATTAACCAACTGCAATTCAACATGCGAAGCAGTTGCAAGTGTGCACAGGCAACTGCTGCAAGATGCCTCGGTCGGGGTTCTCGACCGGGATCGGGCCTTGCGGCGGCACACTCCCCAAAGCCCATGAAATCTGAAGCCTTGCCACTTGCAAAAGCCCGTGAAATGTGAAACCCTGGCCCCAGTCTCAGGGTGGGAGCAAGGTGGGGGTGGGAGGGCCTGGTGGGCAGTGAAGGGCCTGTAATCTTTCGAGCGCCCTGGCCGGCGCCCCGTCACACGTGTGGCCCACCTGCGTGACCCGACGTCTGTGCGGCCCCGCGTGCCCCCGTGACCCTGTGACCGGTCACCCCTGACCGCGTGACCCCGTGACCCCGTGCCCCCGTGACCCCCCGTAACCCCGTAACCCCCCGTGCCCCCCGTAACCCGTAACCGCGTGATCCCGTGACCCCATGAGCCTCCCGCACCCCCGTGACGCCGTGACCCTGTGACCCCGTGACCCCCCCCCCGGACCCCCGTGACCCCGTGACCCCGTGACCCCCGTGACCCCGTGTGAGCCCCCGACCCCCCGTGACCCCGTGACCCTGTGACCCTGTCAGCCCCCCGGACCCCCGTGACCCCGTGACCCCGTGACCCCGTGTGAGCCCCCCGACCCCCGTGCCCCCGTGACCCTGTGACCCTGTGAGCCCCCCGGACCCCCGTGACCCCGTGACCCCGTGACCCCGTGCGAGCCCCCGACCCCCCCGTGACCCCGTGACCCTGTGACCCGGTCAGCCCCCCGGACCCCCGTGGACCCCGTGGACCCCGTGTGAGCCCCCCGACCCCCCGTGACCCCGTGACCCTGTACCCTGTCAGCCCCCCGGACCCCCGTGACCCGTGACCCCTGACCCCGTGTGAGCCCCCCGACCCCCCGGACCCGTGACCCTGTGACCCTGTCAGCCCCCGACCCCCCGAACCCCGTGACCCCCGACCCCCGGTGACCCCGTGAACCCCGTGTGAGCCCCCCGACCCCCCGTGACCCCGTGACCCCGTGAGCCCCCGGACCGCCTGTGACGCCGTGACCCCGTGACCCCGTGACCCTGTGAGCCCCCCAAACCCCCGTGACCCCGTGACCCCGTGTGAGCCCCCCGACCCCCCGTGACCCCGTGACCCGTGACCCCCCCCCCCATGGTCCCCCATCACAATCTCGACTCAAAAGGGTCACGGGGTCACGGGGTCACGCCTCCCATTCCCGACTCAAAAGGGTCACGGGGTCACGGGGTCACGCCTCCCATTCCCGACTCAAAAGGGTCACGGGGTCACGGGGTCACCCCTCCCATTCCCGACTCAAAAGGGTCAGGGGGTCACGGGGTCACGCTTCCCATTCCCGACTCAAAAGGGTCACGGGGTCACGGGGTCACGCCTCCCATTCCCGACTCACGGGGTCACGCCTCCCATTCCCGACTCAAAAGGGTCACGGGTCACGGGTCACGCTTTCCATTCCCGACTCAAAAGGGTCACGGGGTCACGGGGTCACGCCTCCCATTCCCGACTCAAAAGGGTCACGGGGTCACGGGGTCACGCCTCCCATTCCCGACTCAAAAGGGGTCACGGGGTCACGGGGTCACGCCTCCCATTCCCGACTCAAAAGGGTCACAGGGTCACGGGGTCACGCCTCCCATTCCCGACTCAAAAGGGGTCACGGGGTCACGGGGTCACGCCTCCCATTCCCGACTCAAAAAGGTCACGGGGTCACGGGGTCACGCCTCCCATTCCCGACTCAAAAGGGTCACAGGGTCACGGGGTCACGCCTCCCATTCCCGACTCAAAAGGGGTCACGGGGTCACGGGGTCACGCCTCCCATTCCCGACTCAAAAAGGTCACGGGGTCACGCCTTCAGTTTTCCAAGAGCCTTCAAAAGGGGGTCACGGGGTTACGTTACTTCACTCAACCCACGCTCACTCGGAGCACCCGCCTTGTGGCTCGAAGATCGCGCCACTTGAAAAAGTCTCCTCAAGACGCGGATTTAAGGCACTGGGCAGGCACGGCGCAGCACTCCCGAAGCATGTGTTCCCTAAATTAGGCCCTAAATCCATACACTGTCCTCTTGAGGCACACAACCCCAACCACAACACCAAAGCACTTCACCCCTAAACCCTAAATACGCCTTTGGTGGAATCGAAGATGGCGGCGAGGACGAAGCTTTCGATGAGCGCCTGGCCGCAAGAGGGGGGAGAGGAGGGGGCCTAAGCCTGCGAACAAAACCCGACCCCGAAACCTTGCAGCACAGCACTTCCAGACCTTGCTGCCTCGGAGCCCCCTTGCCTGCAACCCTAAACCCTACCGACCCTGAAGCCTCTGTGGAACCCGGCTCGCGGCAACGAAGACGCTGACGAGGAGCACCTGATCACACGAGGGCCTGGGGATTCCAGGAAGGGCGGGGGGGAAGCGCACAACACTCTAGGTTACAAGGGGAAGGGACGGGTGGGGGACAGCACTCCTACCTGCACGCAGTCCGAACCACCTAGCAGCCTCGGAGCCCCTTGCCTGTCAACCTAAACCCTGAAACCTTGCAACACTGCACTTCCAGACCTCGCTGCCTCAGAACCCCCAACCACCTTCCCAAACAACCCTGAAACCTCTGTGCACCCGGCGTTGGGACACTACCTCTCTGCGTCAGGACTTGTGTGCTTGCTGCCTTCCTAACATGTGGTAGCTGCTTGTCTGCTGTGAGTGTCCGACTTGAAACATGCATCGTCGGCCATGCTAGCCGTGTGAAAATCAAAAGCCTACTGCTACATTGACACTTTGAGGAAGCGAGCGCGGCCCAAGCACTCTAGCAAAAAACGCAAAAACAGCAAAAAACATGCCCAAAAAATATGCGAAAATCAAGCAAAGTCATGCCAAAATCATGCGAAATCCAGCAAGAACGTGCAAAACAACAATGCCAACGTTTAAGGTTTAGGGTAAATCCTGCGGAGTTTAAGGCAGCCTGCTCGCCCTAGAGCAGTGATTTTTAGGCCTGCTCGCCCTGGAGCAGTGACGAGTTTCTAGGCCGCTGCCATGCGTCACTGAAAGCCCTCGTGATTTTTTCACACTGCTCGTGTTCGGTCATGTTTGCGATTCTGGCCAAACGGCACAGGACCCGTCGCTTGCCTCCTTCGCGCAGGGGCTTCGTGTATTCAAGCACCAGGTCCGTGACCTTGTGGCCCAGGCGGAGCCTCAAACTTTGGAGGGCTGCTTCCCTCTGTTGCCGGCTGCGCGTCGCTTGGCGGTCGCGCCGGCGATCGCAAAAGTCTTGCAGGCAGAGCAAAGTGCCCCGGCTGCACAGAAAGAGATCGGGGATTATCCCGAACACCGCGGTGCCCGAGTCCGGGAACAGCCAGTCGATTAGTGGGTCTATGGTCAAACTCTCCTCGGTCGCAGTGAGTCTGCTGGGCTGCGGTCTGGGCGGGGGACGTGGCGGCAACGCCATGAAGGCCACGATCATCAGCCTCGCCGCCCTCTCGGTTATCCCAAGCTGTTGTGAGGCCTCCGAGGCCCGTCCATGGAAGTTCTTGCGCTCGAGCGGGGCGTCGTCGTGCCAGGTCGAGATCACCTCTTCCATGAAATTCTTGGGCTGGGGCCGGCGGTTCACGAGATACCGGTCCATGCTTTTGAACCAAGCGCCCGGAAAAAACTCGACCGGCGAAGGGGGGCCCGCTCGGGCGACGACCTTTTTTCCGGCCGGGGTTTTCAAAAGTCATGAGCTGGGCTCAACAACGAGAAGCGATCAGAATTGCAGCCGAGGCCGGGGTCAGGGCGAGGACCTCGGCGGCAGGCTCAGAAACCCTTCCTTTGACACACCACCACCTCCGCTACGAGATGCTCAGCCGCCCGAACGGCGAGCTCACGAGGGCCGACCAGTACTACTACCAACTGATCGGCCGGCCGCCCCCCAGCCGGCAGTACGACCGCAACCAACCCCTCATCCGCGAGGGCCCCAACGACTACATCATGCTCCGGGGCGGCGCCAAAAAGCTGCTCCGCAGCCTCCAGCCCAACGGGAACTACCACTTGACCAAGCTCGGGAAGAGCTTCTTCAAGGACAAGTGGGTGGACTGGGTGGTGCACGTGCCCGTCATCATCCGCGGCATCCGACGAAACGGCCGGAACCGCGGCATGCCCTACGAGCGCACGAAGCGCCTGCCCGTCACGGACCTCAACGTCACACTGCCCCGGCAGAGCGAGGGGCCCAAGCGGCCCGGAACCTCAAGGCGTCCGCGCTCGCGCAGCTCGGGAACCCCGAGCCGAACGACATTATTTGGGAGCTGTCCGATGAGACCTACTACCTGGACGCAACGAAGGAGTGGACCTTCAGCCAGCAGGCCATGCAGGTCGTAGACGACCGGGTGGTGGTGGAGACCGTCCTGGATCAGCCCCTGGGGGCTCTGCGGGACGTCTCCTACCAGCTGTACTGCGGCGACGAAATCCTAGAGTCCGCCTTCGAACAGCGGCCGGACAAGCTTTGCGTCCCTCGGCAGCTCGCGGAGCTGATGCGGCTGCCGCTGCAGGAGGTGCTTTCGGACTTCGACGCAATCTGCACCAAAAAAACGTGGCGGGAGCAGGGCGTCACCCCCCGAGAGATCCGGGAATTCTGCCTCTGGCGCCAGGCCCCGATGTTCTACGTGGACTGCCAGGGCCGCCTGCTGGACAAGTACGAGCCTACCGTCAAGGAGCAGCGGGCCGTGGCCTTCACGAGCTGGAACGGCCACGCCTTCTTCTACAAATCCGCCCGCACCGTCGCGAAGTGCGAGCCGATCGGGGAGCGGGCCAGGTACCGGGGCGAGAGGAAGCCCGGCGAAACGCCCGAGTTCAAGGATTGGCGGGAGTGGGAGGGCGAGGTCGCCAGCGGTCATTTCTACACTGAGGACCTGGAGCAGGTCCGGAGAGAGCTCCTGGCCGAGGGGCACTGCCCGAAGGTGGTCATGCGAAGCATGAGCGAGTGGCGGTGCCTGCGGCTGAGGGTGCGGGGCGGCGAGGACTGCGTCATCTCCGCCTTCCACGAAGACCTGGATGTGCTGCAGGCCTGGATGGGGCGGCTGGGGCTCCCCTATTGCGGGCAGCGTCTGGCGGGCGCCGCGAGTGAGGTCTTCCTTCACCTTCTCAAGGCCCGCCGCGATCCGCCCGGATCTCGGCAAGCCCTGCTCGCGGAGCAGGACCACCAGTGCAAGCTCTGCGCGGCCCCCATCACTGCAACCACGTGCGAGTTGGACCACATCGTCCCCGTGCACCAGTCCTTCGCCGCACAGGCCCAGAACCTCCAGGCACTGTGCCTCGAGTGCCACCGGAACAAGACGGCCCTGGAGTCCTCGCACGCCACGACACTGGAGTCGCGCTTCAGCCGGCGGGCTTACGAGCAGTACGTGGAATCGCCTCGACTCCCGCCGCTCGTCTTCAAGCTCAACAGCCACAAGCCGGACCACATCTGCCACGGTATAGACGTGGTGCGGTGCCGCAAGAACGGTCTGGCCCACGCCAAGTTCCCGGCGCCCATCTTCTGCCCCAAGGACAACGTTGAGCAAGCCCGCGAAGGGCACCTGGCGGACCTGACCTACGTGAGGCTCCGGGAGGACGGGCGTTGGGCGGCGTTCAAGCAGCTCCCCTACGTCGGCCAGGGCTGGTACGCCAAGCCTGCGGTGGCCTACATGCTGGAAAAGGGCCTTGCGACATGGAGCGACTTCGTGCACAGCCTGGACGCCACGGCGCACGTGGACCAGGAGTCCGTGGCTCAGGCCCTGCAGAAAATGGAGGCGGCTTGGCCAGAGGGAGAGGAGCACTACGCGAAGCTGTCGGTGAATGCCCTCATCGGGCTCTGGGCACGCAACATGAACCTCATCTACACCATGCGCACCAGCAACCACCAGTTCGACGGCTCCGGGTGCCAGCACCGGGAGCTGTTCCTGGACGCCGCGGGTGGGATGCACTGGGATCACATCTACGTGACGCAGTTGTTGTCCAACCGGAGCTGCCGGCCCGTGCACGACTTCGTGATGGCCTCGGAGTACGTCGCCGTCTCCAGAATCCGGGATGCACTCGCAACCGTGCCGTCGAGGTACCTGAAGGCCGTCAAAACGGACTGCGTCGTTTTTCAGGACCTGCCCAAAAAGTTCCAGGGCCTCGTGGACAGCCTGGTCCGCGAAAGGCATCCCGACGGCACGCCCGTGTACCGATGCGAGGAGGTCAAGGGCCTCGAAGGCCAGTATCGGATCCCCCGAATCGAGGCGGAGTGGATGTGCAACATTGACACCTGGAAGGTCGCGGAGGACCCTGTGCTCCACTGCCTCGAGGGCGGGAGCCTGCTGCTGACCGGCTACCCGGGCACCGGGAAGACCCACCTGGCGCGCCAGATCGTGACCGCCCTCCGGGAAGAAGGGTACAAGGTGAAGATCATCACGAAGACCCACTCCTCCGTGCAGAACTTTGGAATGCAGGCGGAGACGGCCGACCACTGGGTGCGGAGCACCGTCCGGAACGGCTACTGCAACATCGACTGGCTGGTGGTGGAGGAGATTACGCAGCTCGACACGGGGCTGTGGAACGACGTCACCTGCGTCTCCATGAACCGCAAGGTCAAGTTCCTGCTGCTCGGCGACTTCCGCCAGTTCCCCGCCGTCATGGACAACTTCGCGGGCACCCCGGTGCAGCGGGAGCTCAAGCACTGCCAGCTGCTCCACGACCTCACCGACGGCTGGCACCACGAGCTCACCGAGAACAGGAGGAGCGACCCGGGCATCTTCGACTTCCTCCGGTGGCTCCGCGTCGACGAGCCCCGGGAGCAGTCCCTCCCGGAAGCGGTCCGGGCGGCCCAGGAAAGGTTTCCGCGGCAAGGCGAGCCCGACGTCAGCCTGGTCATCTCCCACGCCCACCGCATCAGGATCAACGCGCGGGACAACCGTCGTCTGGCCCCGCCGGAAGCTGTGACGATCGAGTACACCGGCACCGGCCCGACGACCACCAACATGCCGCAGACCATGCGGGTCTGGCCCGGCCTGAAGCTCATCGGCGTCGGCGGCCGCGTGACCAAAGGCATCTACGTGCATGTGGCCGAAGTGGGCCCCGAGAAGATCGTCTTGGACGGCGGCGACTCCTTCACCCACGCCGCCCTCCTGAAACACACCCGGCTGTGCCACGCCATCACCTACGCCTCGTGTCAAGGCCTGACGCTCGAAGGGCGGGTCTTCCTATGCGACACCGAGAGTCCACACTTCACCCTCAAGCACCTATATGTGGGGAGCAGCAGGGCCACCAGCAGCGAGCTCCTGAGCGTGCTCTAGAACGGACACTGAAAGGCCGGGGCTTCGGCCTCTCTGAGCTGCAGGTCCGTCACTTCCATCAGAAGCCCGCACTGGCCCGACATGAGCCACACCTGGCGCAAATCTGCGCGCACCTTGCATTCCCGACCGGCCAGGTCGCCAGGATCCTCCAGCGGCTGCTGGTCGGCGTCCCAGAAGCGGACTCGGGACAAATCGACCTTGAGCTTGATGAAGCTGTTCCCGCGGGAGGAGGTCTTGAGGTAGGACACGAAGCGACCCTCCACGTCCGACGCGGTGAGGTAGCGGCCGAAGATTTTAGAGTCGTGGAGGCATCGCTGGGTCAGCTGGCCCTTGATGTCCTTCTCGATCGCCTCCAGGTCTGCCTTGGCGGCCTCGTTCTGCTCGAGACACAGGGGGAGTCGCCGGGCTTCCGTCTCGCTGCCGTAGGGGCTGGGGTGCCACAAGATGCGCAGCCACTCGCGGGACCGCCAGGCCTCCGCGCACACCGGGAAGAACTTGCCGCCACGCTGGTTGGTCGTAAGCTCACCGAGCTTGAGTACCGTTTTGGGCTCCATCGCTCCTTCTTTTTTTCACGACAAGAAAAAAAATGCCGGCCACCGTCTCCACCGCGGAGTGCGGGGTGGCCCTGCTGGCGTGCTTGCTGGTCCTGTGGGCCTTTTCTTTTCCTTCAACAAATGAGACTCCTGGAACTCTTCAGCGGCACGGGGTCGGTCGGACGTGCCTTCGGCTGGGAGGTAACGAGTCTTGACAACAACCCAAAAGCCAGCCCAACCATCTGCTCCGACATCCTGCAATGGGACTACAAGGCCTTCGAGCCCGGGCACTTCGACGCAGTGTGGGCCTCGCCCTGCTGCACCGAGTTCAGCATCGCACTCAAGAAGCGCCCCCGCAACCTGCCGCTCGGAGATGCCCTGGTGCTCAAGACCCTGGAGGTCATAACTACCTCAAGCCTCGGTGGTGGGCCATCGAAAACCCGAGCACCGGGCGCCTCAAAACCTGCCCCTACATGCAGGGCCTCCACTGGGACAAGGTAACGTACTGCAAGTACGGCTTCCGCTACAAGAAGCCCACGGCCATCTGGCACAACCTGCCCTGGACCCCCTCCCAGGGGCCCTGCCGCAAGGGCGACCGCTGCGAGGCCTTCCAAGGAACGCGTCACCCAGAGGCAGCGCAGCGAGGGCCCACCAAGGGGCGGCAGGGGAGCAACTCGCGGGACCAGCTCTACTCCATCCCGCCTGCGCTGTGCGACGAGATCGCCGCGAGCGCAACACTTGGGTTAAATGGGCAAGGTGCGTCTCTTCAAGACGCCTGAGTACTCCGTCAAGCAGCCGCCTGACCCCGTGGTTTGCAAGCCCCCCGCCAATGGTATTTTGTGTGCTCCATCTGCAAGCGGAAAGACGGTACTCCTTGTGAGCATGATTTTGGAGCAATACCGGGGCTGCTTCGAGCGCATCTATATCTTCTCGCCCTCGGTGGAGGTCGACCCTGCCTGGCAGCCTGTCAAGGACTACATCCGAGACGAGCTGGGCGTGAATACGGACCGGGAGCAGTGCTGGTGGGAGGATTGGGACGAGGGGGCGCTTCGCAAGATAATCTCGGACCAGAAGCGCATCACCCAGAAGAGCAAGGAGCTGGGCCTGAAAAAGCTCTACTCGGTTTTGGTGGTCCTCGATGATCACGCCGACAATCCGGCGGCGCACCGCAAGACGGGCGACGGCGTCCTGGACACCCTCTTCATCAGAGGGCGTCACTTCTGCATCAACACGTGGGTGTCTACCCAAAAGCTGCGACTGATGAGCTCGGCTGTGCGAGTGAACGTTATGTTTTATTGCGTCTTCCGGCTGCGAAACCAACTGGAGCTGGATGCCTTGGTGGAGGAGCTGAGCGCCATGCTCCCGAAAGAAACCCTGTACGCCATGTACGAGGAGGCCACCAGGGAGCCCTACAGCTTTTGGTTCGTTAACCTCCGCGCCCCCAAGGAAGACATGTTTTGGGTGCGCTTCGACCGGAAGTTCTTGCTAAATGGGGACGCTCCTGAGCCAGATGGCGGCCAAGTTGTTGGGGGGAGGCCCGATGTGCGAAAGTGAGTGCAGCAACATAAGGTGCTGCACCAGCACGCAAGGCATCTACGATCCCAGCCACTGGCCGCCGCCAGAGAGGCCCCGACAAACCTCCGACGGGTCCAACGCCAGCGAGTTCTCGGCGCGGCCCACTCGGTTTTTCAGGCGCCGTTCTAAAAAGGGCATGACGAGTATCTACGTGGACTCGCGCCTCCGCGCGGAGGGCACGGACAGCAGCTTCTCCTTCGACATCGGTGAGAGTGTGCACATTCAATCCGGCGCCAAACTTGCGGTGTACAAGGTCCGCGTTGCTGACGCCTTCCTGAGCACGGACCGCGGGACGTTCTTGTACTGGGAGGACACGGTGGCCGGCACCCTGCACTACGCGGAGCTCCCGGTGGGCGCGTACACGGGGCCGCGATTGGCTGCGTGGATCAGCAGCAACTTCGCTTCCGCCAGCTACACCGCGGAAACGAACGAATTGGACGTCACCTGGGATGGCGTGCGCCTCATCCTCAACGATGCCGAGCTCCGGCAGCGCTTCCCAGGCACGGCCCCCTACCCGCCGGGCGCCTCGCCCAGCAAGCCCCTGTCCATCAACCACCTCCTCGGCCCCAGCTACCTCACAGGCTCTGTGCAGCGCTTCGTCTTTGTGACGATGAATCCGTTCTCAGAACTGTACCTCAGGTGCCCAACACTGGCCAACGGGGAGACGACCGTGGGCCCGTTGGGGCACGACATCCTCTGCAAAATAGTCGTTTCGAAAGGCGTGGGCCACGTCATGGAGACCGAGACGTCAGAGGGGCACTGGGTTCAGCTGCACGGGCCCATAACCCTGCGTCACCTGCGCTTCAAGCTCACCGACTACCAGGGCAACATCGTGAACACTCGAGGCACCAGCATTTCCTTTGTGGTTTTCCTCGACACCGAACGGTAAAAAAAATAATTGGGAAAGAAAATGGCTGAGGATGAACCCGCTTCTGCGCAGCCGGTGGTGGCCACCGAGCCCGCCGTGGCCGAGCCTCCCGCGCAGCCGGTGGTGGCCGAGCCTCCCGAGCCTGCCGAGCCTGCCGCGGTGGCCGAGCCGCCGACCGAGGTTCCTCAGGAAGCGCCCCAACCCAAACGGTGAGGGCGACCGCCAGGTTCGAAGAACAAGCCAAAGCCGCCCCCGACTGTGGCCGTGGCGGAGCTTCCGAAGCATGCGCCTCCTTCGGATGAGCCGCCGACACCGGAGCCGCAGCAAGAGCCCCACCAGGAGCGAGCACAAGAGCCCCCGCCTGAGCCCCAGCAACCCGTGCGTATGACGCCCTCGGAGGCTCGCCGCGCCCGGCAGCTCTCGCGAGCCGACCGCTTCCATGAGCTCCTGCTCGCAAACACAATGGACTTGTACAAAGAGATGATGCCCTTCCCCGAGCGGCGCAATGAGGCCGCGATGCTGCGGGCCTTTCACAAGCAGTATCCCAGCTACAACTTGACGCCGCTGCTCTACAAGCGGCAGCAGCAGTTGATCGATGCTCGGGCCTTCAACGAATCGCCAGGAGGGCGAAGCCTATGCGGATGAAGTGGGGCGTGCAGTCGACGCCGTTAACAGGAGAATCCCCCAGTTGAGATGGGCCCCTGCCGAGCGGGCGGGCGTGCGTCGCGTGGCCCGCGACGTGGCTGCCGGGCGCAACACTAGCGACTCTGCGGTTTATGGCGGCCTCATGTAAAGACATGGAGGAGCGGCGTGCGCACGGCTTCCGCGTACGGCCGTCATACTCACAGGTCCTGGGCTACATCGCTGAGGGCGAGCCCTTGCCCATCGACCTCCCAAACCGCAACGCCAGCATCCTGACTTCCAGCCACTTCTGGCTGGACGACTATCCCCAGAGCTCCGAGCCCGAGCCAGCCCCGCTGCCCCACACGACCGTGGACCCTGCAGCAGCCTACGAGGACGCCAACGAGGGCTACGATGGAGTGCCCTTCCCCCGCCGAGACTTCCTGCGCCCACGGCCCTTCGACCTGGACAGCGAGTCTGATTTTGGGGCGGTGGACCCGGGCCAAGCTCTGAGAAACGACGGGCTGGAGCCCCCAGCACCGCCAAGCTTCCTCAGCCGGATGCAGCAGGCTGAAGCCGCTGCGGGAGCTGCAGCTGGACTGGCGGGCTCTGCCTCTGCCATTGCGGGGCACGGACAAGACCTATACAATGCAGCGCGCAGGGGAAGGAACTGGATTGACCGGAACCTGCGCATCCCGCGCACGCCCGAGGGCCTCGCGCCCCCGCCCGACGAAGTAGCTCCACCCCAAATCATCGGCCGGCCAAGCGAAGCGGAGCCGCTTCTGGAGCGGGCGGGACAGCGAGCCCAGGAGGTGGAGAGGGCGGCAGCCCGAGACATCGAGCAGTTCATGAGCGAGCAGGTGGCCGAGGCCGAGGCGACCGAGGGCTTCGCTTCCACCGCAGAAGTGGCTGCGGGGGCCGCAGAAGCGGCAGCTGCAGCGGAGGGGCCAGGAGCGTTGGCGCTGTTTGGAGAGGCTGCATTGGGCACAGCTGCGGGCATGGGAGCAGCCGCAGGAGGCCTTGCCGTGGCGGGTGGGGCAGCGGCGCTCGTGGGCACTGCGTGGGCGCTCCACGGAGGGATGGTGGCAGCAGAGCACCTCCTAGGTTGGGGTGGAGGTGGAGGAACCGACACGGATGCTTCTCGCCCCAGCTCCGCGCCCGACATCCAAACCCTCAACGGCATGCAGGAGTTCGGTGCTGAGCAGCACTTCCAGCTTCGAGAGCAACGCCCGCGGACACAGTTTTACCGCATGGACACTGAAAGCGAATCCGAGCCGCGGGCCCAGCCGCCCGCGCGAGTGCAGGCTCGCCCCGCGAGGCCCACGCGCTTCCCGACGGGCCTCAACCCCGCGCCGCTGGCGCAGTCCTCGGGCAGCGACTCTAGCCGCGGGCCACGGATGCAGCGCCAATCGCGCGCCGCGCCGCCCCCTTCCTTCGAGGCCCTTCGCAGCGCGAGCGAGCCGGAGGCCGCATGAATCTTTCGCTACAAGTAAACAGTATGGAGCAGGTGACTGCCGCAGTCAACGACGAGTTGGTTCAATCTTTGTCGTTTAAGCTGGAGACCTCCAACGTCAATTACGTGCAGTCAAGAGCCGATGTGGTCTATTACCCTTCAAGTTTGAGCGTTTTCACGCCGACCACGAGCCGCGTGTGCAGAATTCCCCTGACCAGTGGTCAATCGTTCGTGGACGGTGAGAGTGTCAAGCTCGGCTTCACGGTGCGCAACAACTCGGCACGGCCACGCTGCAGCTCGCCAGTCCCGACCCAAGCTGCCTTATTGACCGCATAGAAGTCTTCGCCAATGGCACTCGCATCGAGGACATCTCCTATTACAACCGCTGCTCGTACCTCTACAGCCTCCTGAAGCCGGAGGAGTGGTGGCTGAACCGACACATCCAGGGCTTCCTGGCGGACGGCGGTGGCCACGCCGAGGAGATCCCGGCCTCGGGCTCCCGCACCGTGCTCATGAGCCCGCACCTCATCGGGATCTTCAACTGCGGCAAAATGTTGCCCCCCGAGCTCGGCCTTGTTCTTCAAATCACCTTCTGCGACCCCATTGACGGGGCCCGCAACGTCAGCGGGAGCCAGGAGTACACCATCGAGAACGTGAAGCTCTATGCCTCCCAGGTGACCCTCGACTCCGCCCTTCGCGAGAGCTTCCAGAGGATCATGACCAGCGGCTGCAGCCTGGTTTTCAGCTTCCCGACGATGCACACGCAGCTCTCCAGCATCCCCGCAGGGTCCACCAGCTACAACATCGTCGTTAGTCGTGCATTTACGAAATTACTCGGCGCCTTTGTGACGTTCAACAAGACCACGGAGGACCACGTGGACAATTTCGAGTACCCTGGAGCGAATGCGAATCGGAACCTCAAGGGCCAGCTGCAGCTGGGCGCGCTGCAGTACCCTCGCACGGCGAACGAGAGCATCGCCGAATGGCACCACTTTTTGGAGATCCTCGCGGGCACCTATGACTCCAAGCTTCGCAACATGCGCATCCGGGACAACCTCTACGGGAACACGCAGTTCATCGCGGCCTTCCCGGTGGAACGAGTGCCCAAGCACCCGCTCTCGGGCATCTCGACCCGCTCCGGCGACCTCTGTCGCTTCAGCTTCAGCAACATGGAGGCGGAGCGCGTGGACCAGTGCTTCGTGCACATGCTCTCCTACCAGCTCGTGACGCTCTCGGGCTCCGGGGTCAGTTCCCTCGACTAGTAAAACATGAGTCTTTTTTGAGTCGACCATCACCGGCAACATCCTCAACGATGGCCAGACCCCCATCACCACCATCGAGATGCAAGGGATCTCTGCGGGGCAGCTCGCAACGGTCCTCACGGCCTACACACCCCTCACAGACACCGCTGCCAACACCGCATCCATCGGGACCAACTCGTCCGCCGTCGCGGCACTGCAGGCCCAGGTGGCAGCCATCCCGGCACCGCCCGATTTGACCCCTTACGCTTTGGCAGCTGACTTGGCAGCCGCCGAGGGCCTCATCGCCGGCAACGCTTCTTCCATAACCACTCTCAGCACCAGCCTCATCACGGGTCTGGCGGGGAAAGCGAACCAAAGCGCCCTCGACGCGCTGCAGCTGGACGTGAACTCCAAGAGCACGCCCGCCTCCGTGGACCTCAAGCTAGCCAACCATCCCACTAACGCTTCCATGAACAGTGCCATCACTAGTGCCGACAACGCAGTACTCGCGCAGGTCGCAGCCACCTATGGGCTGAAGAGCACGCAGGACCAGCTGGCCCTCGACGTGGCGGCCCGGCAAACAGCCGCTGATGTCGACCAGAAAATAGCTACGGCTCTTTTGGACCGGCCCACAACCACTGACCTCAACAGCACAGTGGCCCTGCGCACCACGCCCGCGGACGTTTCGCAGCTCATCGCTACGACAATTCTTCCTTTCGTGCAGCAGACGACGCTGGCATCCGAGACGGGAGGCTCGATGCCGCCGAGGCGGCCCTGGCGGCGCTGCAAGCCGCGGGCTTCCAGTCGGCTGCCGACGTGGCTGCAACTCTTGCCACCGCACTAGCGGGCTACACGGACACTGCGGGGCTCGGCAGCTTGCTGGCCGTGCGAGATGCACGCCTGGACGGGCACGACACGGAGATCCTGGCCCTGCAAGGTGCCGGACCTTATGCGACGGCGGCGGACCTGTCGGCTTCCGAAACAAGTCTGCAGAGCGCCATCGATGCGCTCAACGCAGCACTGGCCGCTCTGACCACAGGAGGCGGCACGAACCTGGCCAACGCCCAGGCGTGGCCCGGGCAGACGACCTGGGATCTGCTGGTCGGAACGAACACAATTAGGAACTGGCACTTCAACGCTCCCCTGAGCGTCTCCCTCGAGAACGACAACTTCACGCTGAGCCTGGCCTGCGATGCGTACACGCAGGCGGAGGTCAATGCTCTTCTGGCGCCCCTGGCCAGCGAGTCCTGGGTGCTGGCCACCCTGGGCAGCTACTACACAAGCAGCGAAACCAATGGAGCCATCACTGCAGCTCTGGTTCCGTACAGCACCACCACGCAGATGGATGCCGCGATTGCCGCGGCTGTGGGCGGCATCGACTTGAGTGCATACGTGCCGTGGACCGGGCTTCAGGCGCCCATCCTGAACGAGATCGCTATAGCGCTCGCATCCTACTACGACTCCGTGCAAGTGGACGCCCTCATTACGGGCGCAGCTGTTTCCAATGCGCCCGCCTGGAGCGGGAACACCACCTGGGAGCTGCTGACGGGGCAGGCCCTGCGGAACCTGCACTTCGCCGGGCCCCTGGTGGCCAGCCTCCAGAACTCGGGCAACACGCTGCAGATCGAGTGCCAGGCCTACGACCAGAGCCAGACGTACACGCAGGCCGAGGTGAACGCGCAGATCGAGCGCCGTGGACGCGCTCAACGTCTCCCAGTACACCACGCAGGCCGACATCGACGGCTCCATCGCCTCAGAGCTCACCAACTACTGGGACCAGGGGGAGACCTCGGCGGAGATCGCGAGCCAGATCAGCTCGTCCGGGCTCCTCACCGAGGCCCAGGGGGACGCGAGATACAACATCGTCAATGGCAACGCAGGGGGCGGAGGCATCGTTCCTATGGTTCTGGAGAACTTCCAGCCGCGCATGGTCCGAGCGCTGCTGCCCCAGGCTCCGTTGGGGGCCAATCTGATTTTGGGCAACTCTGCGACGGTTCAATTGACTTGTGATGCGTATTCCAAGAGTGAGAGCGATGGGAGGTACTTCTCCAACAGCGACTTCACGCCCCTAGACTCCAGGTACAACATCGTCAACGGCAACGCCGGCGGGGGAGGCATCATTCCTATGGTTCTGGAGAATTTCCAGCCCCGCATGGTCCGAGCGCTGCTGCCCCAGGCTCCGTTGGGGGCCAATCTGATTTTGGGCAACTCTGCGACGGTTCAATTGACTTGTGATGCGTATTCCAAGAGCGAAAGCGATGCCCGCTACGCCCTGGCGGCCCTGCTCGTCAACGACGTGCGCGCCAACGGAGGCGACTACCTGACGCTGCGGGGCGGCTCGCTGGGCATCGAGTTCGAGGCCTCCAGCGGGGCCGCCGTGGCCGACCTCTCGGCCAGCCTTTTCAGCCTCAAGACGGGCGTCAACATGCTGACCATGGGCCGCATCTTCGCGGACTCTAGCCTGGGCATCGCCACCGCCGGCAGCTTCCAAGCGGACACGGTGGAGCCCCTGCTTCCGACCAATCAATTCCTGAACCTGAAGGCGGGCACCGTGTCTGTGCGCGTCACGGACCAGGCGGACCAGAGCCTCTGCACTTTTGCCACGTCGGAGGTGCACTCGGTGGCCCCGAGGCTGCGCGTGGATACGGAGCTCTACATCGACGACGCCGTGGGCACCGCCGCGGGGCTCGTGACCAACGCCATCTCCACACGAATCCAGGACACGCAGCTCACCATCACCGGCGGCTCGGCAGGCACCGTCGTCAACGGCGCACTGGATGTGCAGGGCACGCTGACCTCGGGGAGCGTGGAGCTCAGCACGGAGCTGCGGGCGCCCATGGTGCGGGCGAGGCCGACGGACGACTACCTCACCATCACGGGCGGCACGCAGGGCACTTATCTCAACTCGGTGCTCTACACCGCCAGTGCGATTCGGGCCGACAATGGCATCGTCTCGAGCCCAGCATACCTGGAGCTCATCGGTGGTTCCACGGGGGTGCAAGCGCAAGGGGATTTGCAGGTGGTGTCCACCGTCAACGGCGGGGACGTCACGGCCGAGGTGCTGAACCTCGCGACGGCGGGCAATGCGCGGCTCCTGGTGGCGTGCAACGCAGGCTCGGGCGAGCTCTCCGCCTCTTCCGCGGGGGGCGTGCAGCTCTACGCCCAGGACCAGGCCATCTTCCTGCGCACGGCGGCAACCGGGCCCGCCAACCTCATCGTGGAATCCAACACGGGCGGGGCCAACGACGGCGAGTTGATCTGCAACTACGGCTTCCAGAACCTCTCGGACGAGAAGCTGAAGCACGACGTGGAGTCCGCGAGGCTCGAGGAGCTGCAGCAGCTCTTCGACTCCGTGGCGCCCAAGTGGTACCGGCGGACCGTGGGCAGCCAGAAGCGCACGCTGGGCTTTATTGCGAATGAAGTTCAGGAGACGGGGCCCGTGGGCCAGGCGCTGTGCGGCAAGCTCGTGGACGAGGAGCTGGGAGAGCTCACCACTCTTGACTACAACCGCATGTGCTGCGTTTTGTGGGGTGTCTGCCAGGGGCTCCAGGCCCGTGTGGAGGCCCTGGAGAAGAAGGGCAAGAAGCGGGGCCGCTCGTGATATAAAATGGACGCGGAGAACGTGAACCTATTCCGGCAGCTGGCCGCGGACTTCTCGGTCCGCGATGTGCGGAAGCTGCACCAGCTGGCACGGCGGGAATTCCCGGACCGGCCGGGCATGACCTATGCCCGAGCCGCGCGAGCTTTGCGGGACGACGTGGCCAGGCAGATTTTGGCCCCC